GACAGATGCTTTTTTGTTAGGTGTGATTAGATTTAATTTCGTAGAAGTTTATATTAATGTTTGAGAAGCTAAGTCAAAGAATTTTTTGAGAGAGAACTTTTAAAATAAATAATTTCACTTCCATGTAAGATAAGACAAAAAATAGAAGTAAAATAATTGCCAAGTGAATAATTGCCAAATTTCAGAAGATTGTTCCTCAATGAGAGATTGGTGCCTAAAAGATCTCTAAAAAGCTAGATGATTATGAAAAACATTAAGAGGTTGGGTCATATTTTTTGTTTTTAACTACATGTTTCTCAATAGTTAAGCTTTCAGATAGTAAATAATAGCTGTGCTATTAAAACCTTGGCCTCTGATGTTTAAACCACATAAACGGCATTTTTCAACTCAAAGTTTAATACTAGAGCCCAACCTTAGGCTAATTCTCTCCCATCTGCCACAGCCCTGCCATCCCCCTGGTCTTACACATTCTTTCTGTCTCACTGCTTTGCTTTGCTTGCACATAAGCACTAAGCTTGTGACCCCCGGCACATTAGCTTTTGCCAAATTACGCTGCAGGAACGACTCCCAAACCTCAGGCTGACAACAAGCAGGTGGTGTTTTCACCCACGTTGCATACCTCTGGTTGCCGTTGCTGGCTGCGACCCCGCTGCATGTATCTTCTCATCTCAGGATACAGGCTGAAGAGCAGCCCCTGTCTCGAACACGCTGTTCTTATAGAGGGGAGGAAAAAATAACTGGTGGAAACACATGGGCGGTACGTCCATTTACCAAAACAAATCTCATGTCAAGATCAATGGTGGTCAGGGGTGGGAGGGAGTGTGTTCTCACAGGAAATAGTGCAAGTCATGCTGTGACAAGCCAAAATGCATTGTTCTATAGGGCTGGGAATGAATAGTTGGGTACAGCAATATAATCCACCATGCCTCGTGTGTGAAAGGGGCTGGCATCTATGCTTCTGAGGCTGCCTTGAGTGGAACAAAGGTTTTCTGTCTCTTGGAGTTGGTGCTTTGGGCCCTCCCCTGAGAGGGCTGCCTTTTCACCCTCGTTAATTTTTTCCCTGGCTCTGCCCTAAATTATCTTGGCATTATCGTGTTACCATCAACTCAACAGATGCGGAGCAGCCAGGGCTAAGCTATTTATAACAACCGTATTTCTGAGCACGAGGTCGGGGATAAAGTCACTTTCTCTTGGGATGTGGTAGGTAGTTATTGCAGTATGGAGGGAGAGAGGAATTGGAAGAGCCAGCTTTGGGGTTGAGGGGACCGTGAATATGAGAACTGTGACAGGCCCAACTACTTTTGGGGGTTCTTTTTAATCCACTGGGAATTAATCTTTAAGCCAACTCCTGGATTTTGTGTGAGCCAGACCCACTCATTGGGATCTCCCCCTCTCACTATCGGCTTCTTGATTATCCCACATGTGGTTAATATGGGACCCGACCTTTAAGGAGTCTATCAAAATAGACGGCATGTGCCATGGGGGGTGTTGGTTGTTAAGACATGGAAGCAAGCATGGTAAACAGGCCCTGAAGGCCAAGGGGCAGTTGGAGGGGGCAGGCCCTTGACAGAATTTGTGCCCAAGGGAAAGGCCATCTCATAGGTCTTACAAGGACAAAGGAAAGCACAAGAATGGACACATCACCCAGTATTTAAGGTAAGCAATAGAGGCACAGAACTTGCACTTGGAGAGTCTTTGAGTCCTGGGCATGGCCAACACAGCCAGAGGTAGCAAAAAACAGATTAGAGCTGAGAGAGCTCAAATCATCTCACCATGGTTTCCAGACTTCTCCGTGATAGAAAAGGAGTTAATGGAATTTATGTACAATTTTTAATATTCCAAAAGCTGAGAGGAATCCATACATTTACCTAACGTAAGATCGCCCAAGCTAAGGAAAATTCTATTGACTAGTATTTAATCAACTAAGACAACGGCCATGGTCAGCTGATGCTAAACAGCTTTATTGGGTGTTATTTTTGATTAATAAAATGGAGAAAATTATAACTTAGTAAGTACAGAGCCATGGATGAAAGTTTATTGAGGGGGAAAATGGTAGAAAAGATCTTTGCCAAGAAAAGGCTTGAGGACTCACTCCTTTGATATGAAAGCACTGGGTTCTATGGTGTCATGTAACTTCTTCAAGGTCGCTGTCAAGCCAGGGCTAGAATGCTCCAGGCCTAGCTCCACTGCTGTTCCCTTGCTGCCCCTGAGTTAGACTGGAGCACCTCAGGAGGAACTCCCCCAAGGGAAGTGCAGCAAGGGAACCTCTGACTTGGGACAGAGGAAATCTGACGTGCCAGTTTGCAGTCTCCAAGGGATTGAAAGGTGTGGCCACTAGACATCTTGGGGAAATCACTGGGATAGACTGCAGTGGAAGACGCAAGTGGGCAGCAGTAAATTGAGAACGAGCAGTGACTCGTTGTTCCCAGGAGTAGGTTCCCTGTATGACATGTTCCTGTAGCCAGGCCCCAGCAGCAGAACACTGGAGTCTCTGATGATGTCATACAGTTTGCTGCACATGCATTTCAAAATAAAAGTCCGTCCCTAGTACATAACACTAGGATGCTTGCTTATGGAAATGCCTTGGGCTGTGTAGGGACATAAAGTCCCAGGTTCTGGAAGTGGGCAAGGACCAAGATCAATAAGAGAGCTCCAAATAGGAGCCGGGGGGTCTCTGTGCCACAGGCTTCCATTTGTTTTCTATAATTTCAAAAAAGGTATCAATTACCCAAGAGAAAAGAACACAGTAAAATGACGTTATTGCAACCTTTAAGCCACCTGTAATGGGGAATATATTTACTTGCCTTTTCAGATCCCAATGCCAGAAACACTAAAATGGACTTTCTTGTTGTTTAGGAACCCTAAGCAGGCTGTCCGGGATGAACCAAGGCTTCTCTATTACCTCTAGGACCTTGGGCAAGTCACTTTACTTTTTTTGAGCCTTAGTTACTTTACCTACAAAAAAGAGGAAAATAACCTACTTTATAGGGTGGTTGGCACATAGTAAATGCTATATAACAATCAGTGGTTATTTCTTTTATTGGTGCAAAACCACTTCCGTACTTCTAAATATTATTTCAGAATTTAACACGTAGTACCCACACTTTGTACAAGTCAGTCATTATAAGGCATCTTGCTGCTGCCACTCAGAAGCAAGCTGAGGTTCTTGGGGCTCCACAGCTCTGACTTCCACCCATCCCGTCTGCAGCCCGGCGCACCCAAGCTTAACGCCAATGCAAGTCTCCCAAGGTTCTAGGCTTGATCTCCAGCCCCATTCACAGCTCTTCTGCTCCTCTGTCATTTCCTTTACTTCCCTTAATTGCTCTAAGTCTAAACTCAGCATCTGGGGCTGGGAGAATGGAGAGAAGGGAAGAAAGGCAGACAGAACATCTCTGGGTCATCTTCTGCCAGCCAAGAGGTGGAGTAGGGTTCAGGCTGACTGCAGAAGTTTCCTCTCTGGCATCTATGGGTTGATAACTGGCCTGTCCCTTTCCCAGGTAAGGCCACCAGGTCCAACCCATGAGAAGGGCTCCTGAAGTCAAATTAGAAGATGTATCTTTCAGTGTCCAGTCCCAGAGCCCTGGTGACTGCCAGTTCCAGAATGAGGAATCCCTTCTTTCATGACCAAAGAAAGACCACTCCATCCCACTCCATCCCATTCCTTCCCCATGGTGTGGGAAAGCTCCCACTCAGCCAGGAACTGCCCAGGTGAGAAGAGACTCTCGGAGTCCTTGGTGGGTGTCTCTGAACTTCAGACCCCACCTGGCTTCATGGGAGAGCGAAGTTATCCAGTAAAATGGTGATTCAGATGGTGTGTGCCCTGGGGAAAGACATGGCCCCTGTGGGCATGGCAAAAACAGAACGTGAGGAGAAGAAGGGGACAATAATAGATTTATCACACCAATCTTAAGTGCAAGAGCATTTCCTACACTGCAAGTGGTATGTAAATTGTTAGATGTTTCTTTTAGGCAATTTGACAGTCTGCCTTTCCAGTTTTCATATGCTTTGCCTCAGAAATTCTGCTGGAATCTTTCCTAGGGAATTGATTAGAGATGTTCATTTCTGTGTTATTTATTTTTTAAAAAATTATAAAATCAGTGTTCAGCATTAAGAAAACATGAATTAAATTTTAGTGTTTTCATAAGTTTAATATACTACGGCCATTGAAATTGATGTTTATAAAAGCTTTTTGTCATAGGTCCAAATTTATTTAAAATAAA